ATTTAATAGCAAGTTAAAACTTCATTATTTCACCTCTGCTCTGAAACAGAGGTCTTCTTTGATTTTTAACTTTTACATCTCCTTACTGGAGACTCCCATCCATGACTCAGTACCCATTAACGGGACCTTTACACAAGAAACTCCTCCACACACATACATATTAGGGTAAAATTAAAAATTCTCCACCAGACCTTCAGCCTAGGGAAACCAGTGGAACTCAGGCAGTGCAATACGGAGCAGATGGACCAAGCAGGTCCCTGTAGGCATAAGGGACCAAGGCCACCATGTCCCAAGGAGATGCCATTGGGCAGCTGGAAGCCCCACTAGACACTATGAACAGGTCTGGGATGCTCTGAATTTGGTTCAGCCTCTCTCAAACTGGTTTTCAGCCTCAGGAAAACACAGAAGCAATTTCCTCTAAGTCACCGAGCTGGTACTGGATTTTTCTGGTTCTTCCCCTGCACAGCGAGCTGGAGATGATCTGCACTAAACCAAGGTGAAACCCACCCTTTCAGGAAAGGGCAAATCACACGCCTATGGCGTTTGCCTTACTGAAGCCTTATTTTCAAGGCTTAATCAGTACCTGGGCCATGCCCTGGTCCTCTGTGCCAGGGTGACTCTCAACCACAGTGAAAATCTTTACAGAGGAATTAGTTGCCCCATGGGATCACCAACTAAATCAATTAGACATAACACATTTGAAAAATAAAACCTCTTCAAGACAAAGTATAATAATATTAAAAAAACCCAGCAACAATCTTCTAACCACAGAGTATCTATAAAGATCTTTTTAAAGAGCTCCATATTAAAATTCCTTGAATACATTATATATTAAATACAGTAACAACATTTCATGCAAGGTTTTCTGTACAATTAAATCAGCTCAGTAGTATAACAAGTCTGTACATTCCCATTGGTCTGGGGGCTCTGCTCATCTTCAATGCTGGTGATGGAGAAAAGAAAGGAAGGATGATGTTTGGCACCTACTGTACAGAGGAAGAGTAGCTCTCGCCCAGGTGAAAGAGGAATGGAAAAGCACTGGAAGCTTTTAAGAGGCAAAAAGAAAAACTCCAACAGCAAAGGAGCAAAATGTTATCCAAAACCTGGCTCTGGTGCTGTTGATGGGATTTACGATAAATTAAAAAGATATACGGTCTGGCTAACTAAATATCATCAGGGTGATAGGGAATGTGAGGAAAAGAGGAGTGAGGATTTGGAGAGCTGGAGAAGAAACCACCCACTATCAGCTCCTCAGCTGAGGCAGCTCAGTGGAGAAAGATCAGGCTGGTGGATACCAAAATCCACTCCTGATCCACACACTCTCGCTGCAGCGTGTCACTCCTGCTGCAGAAAAATCCTAAGAGGATACAATAAAGTTGGTGCCTTATAAAAAGGGATGCCACGACAAACACCGCTCACGGGGGAGGACTACGTTATGTACAAGCATACATTCATTCCCGTCTCAAAGGCGGATCACTGGCGTCAAGGATGCCCTGTGCAAGACAGCAACGTCCTCCAAGCACATGGACGTGCTCCTAAGGACTTAACCTCTACTCCTGCTAGGGAAATAGTTAAAAACCAACCGAGTACAGAAAGTGTGACCAGGAGGGAGCAGTAGGCATGAGGAATGCAGAGTCAGTCATCCCCATGCTAAACGGTTGTCCCTACGAGGAAAACAGCCATGGCTTACATAGGGCAGACGGGATCTAACCAGACGTCGGACGGAGAACAGACAAGACTACGTTGCGCTTTGGTGTCAGATGAGCCTGAGAAGGTGCAGGGCTTTCCACAACATGGGGATCAAAAGGGCAGTGTGATAAATAGGGACAACTTCACCTACCACTGCGCACATCTAAGCTCGACACTTCGCCACACGCCCGCGAGATCCACATCACCGTGATCACACCATGAAGCCGTTTTCAGCTGCTGCAGCCGGCAGGCACGGCGGCTACCAGAGCAGAGCGAGATACCCACCAACAACATGGACAACATAGAGGGTCGGCAACCCCAACCCGCAGCCCCCTTGCTACCCTCCCCTGCCCTCGCCCACTGCCAAGCACTCCCTGACCACACAAGCTGCCCTCTCGCATCCCGCCCGGCTGGGGGACGCTCAGCATATTGCCTAAAATCCCAACTTCCCCCCCCGATCTCCTGTGAAGGACACCTTGCCTGAGCTCACCCCATCAGGGTAAAAATTGGAAAGAGGGTCTCAAATTTTGCAGGAACATATCCTCCAGGAACTGCGTTCTGATGACCCAGGTCCACACACCTCCATCCCCAAACCCTACACCAGCTGTCCAGTAATTGCACTCTTATGTACAGGAAAAAGAAAGCTACGAAACAAAACAAAATCAGTATTTTTCTTTTCGACGATTCACCCGCATTTGTCTGATAGTCGGACACATGCATGTCCTGCTGGTTTCTAGCGATGGTCACGCATGCAAGACTTCAGTCTGAGTTACAGCTTAGGGATCCTTTAGTTAGGAGCGTTTCCTTCGTGTCATTCATTTCTTGCCCTCTTCTCCTGAAACAAAGGGAAAAAAAGAGAAGAAAAAGCATTGATGAGGGTTCAGAAGCAAACCAGCTCCTGATCTTTGCTATGAAGAGAGGTTGCTCCTGGCTTGATCCCAGAAGGGGGATCCCATCTGTACAGATCTATCCCAACTGCAGCCATGGCAGCTCAGACTGCACGAGGAGGAGGATGCCAGTCCCCAGGTGAGGAAGGACTCGGCAGGCTCAGCCTGCAGGAAAGTAGGAAAAGGGATGAGTTGGAGCCACACAAGCAGGAACAGCGGGAAGGCGAGCAGGCAGGGATACCTCATTGTTGCTCCAAACATGGGAGCAAGCCCCAGATTTGTAAGCGCCACTATCCCAGCCCAGGGGCTGCCCTCATCCTTTCTCCTCACGGATGGTAACAGGCAACATGTGACCCAAAGGAAAATGACAGTGTTCAGCTTGAACTCAGTGTGAGCAGCCTTGAAATCCCTGCCAGCGCTTGGCTTGCACCAACTAGATCCCCCATTTTCAAGGGGTCAGGTCCCCCAAGGCAGAACCTGCTCTTCAGCTGGGGGTGAGCGAGACCCCGCTGCCAGCACTGTCTGCCCGGAATAGCTTTTTTTAGGAAAAAAACCCCAACCAACAAGGCAGCACTTTCTGAGAGGAGTTAGAAAAATCACTTATCATCAATCTTTTGACCCTATTTCTCTATCTTTCATCACTGCACATATCACTAAACACATCTCCCAGAGGACTGCTGGTACTGTGCTCTTGATAAATAGGGGTCCTGCCTGGGGTTACCAGCGAGGCTCAGTGCCCACTGCCAACAAGCTTCCAGAGGAATTAATAAATAACAAGGAGAAAAAAAAAAAAAAAAAAAAAAGAGAGGGAGGAAAAAACCCCCTTTTTCGCAACTTCTGCCAAAATTTCTTTCCAGTGCTGGCTGGAGAGCCCAGCGTTTGTATCCCGAGATAAAACTGACTGCTGCAGTGGCAGCATCCCTCTGGATGACCTCTGCACTGCAGGATTCAGAGCAAAGTAGGGATGCAGGCGACCACGCTGCAGGAAATCTCATTGCAACAATCAAAACTCATCTCCTGTGAGTCGCAGGGGTGTCTCTTCAGCACCTCCAGCAGCGGAACAGTCCCTGCCGGGTGACACACCGGTGGTTATTTGCCAGCCACAGCACTTCCCTTAAGTAAATGCTTCACCCTGCGGTTGTGCAAACGGGGACAGCTGCACGGGGTGGGCAGGGACAGGAAGGGGACACAGCTCCAGCGCCAACAGACAGAGTTTAACCATGGCAGATGCTCTCCAAGATGTTACTCTGGGGGCTCTAAGTAACCCCCCAGCACAGAGCGAGTCGGGTGTTTCTGTGAGCACCACAGTCACCCGAAGGTCCCGCACCCACTTTGCTTTAATGGGGTTTAGGTCCCGACATGCCACACACCGGTGACCCGAGTAGGTCCCCTGCAGGGACCTGTTTGCAGGAATGATGGGTGGTTGAGATCCAACCTATCCCATCGGGATCCTGCCTTCCACCAAGTTTCTCAGGGCTGTCACAGCCCTTCAGCTCTTGCAAACCTGCAACTGAACAACAGGAGCTCATCTCCCACGAAACCTGCTCCCACCAGCACAGCCAAGGCTTTAGGGGAGGTTTTTCCTTACTGCTTTTGACTTTCCTCTTAACAGGTTCCCGTAAAAGGTGATGCTGGAGGGATGCAGCCTCCAACCGCAACCCCGGATGGCTGATTCCATCAAGGGAAACACTGTAGCCCTCAGAGCTCCAAAAACCACATGTCTCCCCCATCGCACCAGGGCACCCTGAGCTTCAGCCAAGACCCCAGACCCCAGGAGAAAACTGAACGGGAATTCCTCCTCCCATCCCTTTGCAACACTGGGCAGCAGGACTGAGAACTTCCCTCTGCTCTTCCATTTCTAAAGCATGGCACGTGCACATGCACACTCAAAAAACAGGAGAGAGGAGGAAATAAAAATAAAAAGCAAGGCAGCAGAGCTGGAAAATCCCATCTGGAGAGATTCCGGCACTGGAAGGTGCGGTGCCACTCTCCTTCAGAGCATCCCACAGCTCGAGCGAACGACTTGGCTGGTGGGGACGCATTCCTCCCCCCGCGCCAGCGCCAGCCAAGGTAGCTACGTGCAGAGATTACCCTACAAGGGCAGCCACGGCTGCTCGCTCCCGGCTCTCTGCCACCGGGGAGAGGGATGCCTGCCTGCTCCGCAGGGAACGCGGGTGGCTGCAGCCGCCTCTGTGCTCCCAGGGGAGTTTCGGGGGCTGTCCTCGTCCCCAGGTGTGGGTGCACGGGGGAGACAAGGGTGAGCAGCTCCTTTTCGCTACATGCTGCAGGGTTTTTACAATGGGACATGGAGGTTTTGGTCCCTGCAGATTTTGGGGCTGTCTCAGAGGGATGTGGAGCCACGGCTGACCCTGGCAGGGAACGTGACACACTTGTCACTGCACAGCCACCTCTGCCAGCTGCTCTCCTCCGGGAGGGCGTCACAGCATAAAGCTGAGCTTGGCTTTGCAGATAAGAGGCCAAATCTCCCCTCAGTGGTAGAGATGCTCACCCAAGGGTGCAATCTCTCCTGCACATCAGCTGCGGCAGCAGGAGGATGCAGGGAGGTGCTGTCTGCTGGGGAGGGGACCAGTACCTGGCAGCACGGCCACCACCTTGCAGCTCCCGCGTAATCACCCAGGGGCTGCCATTCCCACCAGGCATAAGGACAAAAGGCATAAATACTCATCTGCCACAAAACACACCAAGACAATTCCTGTGCATCAGAACTTCCAGTTTTCAGTGATGCTGCTGCTGTCGGGGCAGGCATGTAGGTGTTCCAGAAAGCACCCCACTTCTTGACTTGCCCCTGCTTTTGCCACGGCACAGGTGAGAATGGTGCAGCCCAAGCACCCAGGCAGGGTGCTGAAAACAAGTGACAACACCACGGTGGCAACACCAAAACCTGCAATGGGTTTTCTCCGAGATGGTGAAGATGAGGAGGCCCAGAAACAGTGTGGGAAGGCAGGAGGGGACCGAGGTGACCACAGCAGCGGGCTGACAGCACACTGAGGGACACAAGTGCCGGGGTTATCTCAGTGTCCTGTCTGGATTTGGTACCTTCTGAGAACCCCTCAGAAAAGAGACTTCTGCAAGGTCTTGGCACAGATGCCTGGAAACCTTCCTCCTGCATGCCACAGGACTCAGAAAGAGCAATACCCTTAATGCATAAAGCATGGTAAATATTAAAAATACTAGGGCAAGAGGTCCTTGAGGGTGGTCAGCCCTTGTGAGCCTGCCAGCATCTATCTGTGTGATGGACCCCTGAAAGGGCCCTGGAGAACATCTCCACATTCCTGACCAGAACATCTGCAGGTCTCACCGAGCCAGCCTAGCACTTCTTGCTGTCTCACACTCACACTGCCTCCCAAAACGGATACAGCAGAAACCTCAGAGGGGCTGGAGATGGATGAAGGCAGCAACACACACAAAGCATGCAAGATGAGAGGCCAGAAGTGACCAGGGTGATGGGGAGAGGAACGTAAAAGCACTGAGACCACGGTGAAAACTGAAGAGTTTCAGCTTTCTGCCACTTCAAGGACAAGGAAAATCCAGCATAATGGAAACACGACTTATCTAGGAGTTAGATAGTGATCTAGTGATCAAAGGAGAAAATTTTCCATGCAAAACCTGAATCAGCAGAACTCAGAGCTATACACTTGCATCCCTCAGCTGAACACCTCTGGCCATCCCTCAGAAGGTCCCACACGAGAACATCCCCAAGCACTGCCTTACAGAGACCAAGCCTTGCCCCTGGCCAAAACCGCCATGGAAACGGTTGCTTCATGGGGTTTTTAGACCTTATTTTGAAGCAAAACACAGAGACCAGTGTGGGAAAGGAGATCCTGTCTGGGTATGTCCCTGCCCATGGCAGAGGGGTTGGAATTAGATGACCTTTAAGGTCCCTTTCAACCCAAACCATTCTATGATTCTATGAGGTCCCTGGGCTCCGTTATTGGCTGGTTTTCCAAGCCACGTTCACCCAGACACGTTCCGAGCAGGTCCCCACCACACACGAGCAAGACTTTGGAGGAAGCACAGGGATACAGCGTTCAGGGATAAGACATGTAAGAAAGCCAACCCTTGCTCTGGAGTCCTGCAGGTTTTCAACTGGTGCTCCCCGCTCCACGTGTGTCTTACTGTCCTGAGAATGCCTGGTAAAAAAATCACAATACCACACTTAAAAGTGGCTTTTTGAGGGTTTTTTCTTGTGTTTGCTTTTCAAAGCCCAGAGGAATTAGGAAGATGTAGGATTTCAATTATTTCTCTCAATCGTGATGATTTAAGCGTGATTTTGTCCCGTAGCTGTGACTGAATAGCTGCATGGGAAACCCTTGCTGGATGAGATACAGAGCGACCTGTGAGCATCAGCAGCATGATGACCGTGGGGATGAGGGCAGCTCGGAGGACCTGGCACGTTGGAGGCATGGCATGGGAGGAGGAAACACTCTGAGATGGTATGATGGGACTTGAAAGGATCATACATCTGCCAGAAACCCTGCTGTGCTCAGAGCTGCGCTGGCAGAGCCAGAGAAAAGCTCTTCCTCCAACAACACTGAGTATTTATAGAGAAATGCAAAGTGTGGGAGAAAGACAGACTCATCCCCAGATCACAGATGGTGAAGTGAAGACTGAGGGCATGCATGGGATACAACAGCCAGGAATGCACCAGCTCTCCCATGCCCCCGCCCAGTGCCACGCCACAGAACCGTTGCTACAGGCTTATAACCATACGATAAACCAGACCCGGGGGATGCAAAGCACCTATCAGGCTGTTGAGAGATGCAATCATTAAATCAAAATAAGCTAGAAACAATTTCTATCTGGTCTGTAAAAACAGGAGCCCCTCCACCTCCCTTTCTCTGTGGAGGCTTCTCCGAGCCATCACTGTGGTTATGAATCAGCCCGCTGCATGAAAGCTGATGTGAGCACCCCCAGTGCGCTGGGACACATTGATGGGGGAGGGCAGCCCGTGTGTGATCGTTTCGTGCTTGCAATAATTGGCCATCCAGTACTTCCAGCTTTTTGCATGGTTCTGCTCCATGAGAAAGCAAAACAATGCCCCAGATCTCTCCCAGCTAGGGCTGGGCAGACCTGCCTTCAGCCCTGAAAGGCAAGACTGGCTTTGCAGTTTTCCTGGGCCATTATTAAAGGGTGAGGGTACAAGCAGGGGTTTGCTAGGATGCCAGCTGCTTAAGGTTTGAAAAAGGTTTTGAGCATGGTGATGCTGTGGAAGGACATCCCGTACTCACACTCAAGTTGTTCATCTGCCTCCCAGAGCCACTACATCTTCCCCGGACAAGGAGAGTGTCTCTCCTGCCCTTCTTCTCCCTGCTATCACTGTCAGAGCAAGCACACCCTAAAAAATGAATAAAATCTGTTTTTCCTGGAGAGGGACCAGCCCCATGGCAGGCACAGCACTGCTCAGCAGCTGTGGCCCTGCAGCCGCTGCCAAGAAAACCTGCAGGTTCAACTCAGCACCGAGATATCACCCACAGCAACGTCTTTTGCAAGAAACGATGATATCATCTCCTTGGAGGGCTGCCTGAACACACGCTGTGATTTACAGCATGCAGCCCAGGCACGCACAGGAACTGCTGCCCCTGTGTCACAGGAGCTGCTTCTCCTCCCTGCGTGCCAGGGGCTGGATCTTGAGAGGAGCTGGCCAAGGGCAACCCCATGAAAATGAGTTTATAAGGTGTTCAGCTCTCTTTTGATCTCAACACAGAGGTAGCAAACACAAGAATAGGATGGCCATAGAGGTGGAAGATTGAGGGGAAAAGGAAGGATTCCTGTGAGAAATCAGTATTTTATTTGTTCTGCTTTATAACAGAAGGGATCCAGTTCCCAGAGGTTCAAGAGGAGCTGGACAAACACAAATGGCAGATTTATCTAGTGCTCCAGCTCCTAGGAGAGTATTTCAAGCAGATATAAGTACCAACTGCTCTGCCTGGCGTGGCACCCGGGAAAGAAGGAGGTAGGAGAACAAGTCCCTTTTTCACAGTGAAGGTGGAGGAACATGCAGGTGCAGACACCACACGAGCAGAGGAGGTGAGCGAGGTCTCCACAAAGCCACCACGAACCCCAAACAAAGCGCCACGGAGCAAACGTAACCCAGCGTGGCGCAGACCATGCTCACCGTCCAGGTGGTTGCGGGAAAGGTACTTGAGTCCTTCGTCCAGCAGGATAACGGGCAGGGAGATTTTCATTACAACCACCCACTGTGGCCAGCTCAGGGGGGTCACCTGGAAGATGATCTGCAAGGTGGAAAGGATTGGACATGTCAGTGGAGGTGGGATTCTTCTTTTTGTTTTAAGGGTCAGGCTGTTTTATGGGACAGGTTGAGAGAGGGTCAGCCCAGGTAGAAGGAGGGAGGATGCAGACAGCCCAAAGAACAGGATTTCTTCAAGGTCTGTCATGATCCCAAGGTTCTTGGCCAAGATCAGTCAAAAACAATGTCCTTCACATCTCCTGCTGATGAGGAAAGGGAGGCATAAGCCTGTACGTGCTCACAGTGCATATGCTTGGCTGGGGACAAAGGACAATGTAACCTCCCCAGCACAGCAACCCGCTTCACCTTAGGCATCAACCCAGGCATCACCAGCCTCGGACTACAAAGGGAGGCAATGCCTCCACAAGGAGCTGAGGTATTCATACCCCTTTGCATTGCTTACAAGGAGAGCTTCTGACTTAAGTAGAGCCTCACTGGGGCAGGGTGTCTCCCAGTCCTCATGTTGGTTTGAGTCCCAGGACCTGGTCCTGAGGGCACATGCTGGGGTCAACCATCACAGAAGCTTCCAGACCCAAAGACTGGTCCAGGGATGTCCTGGCCCACAGGAGGAGCCCCTGGACTGCGTGTGGAGGTGGCAGGGGGCACTCACAGGCATGGGCTTGACGTAGAGGATGAGGAAGTGCAGAGCCATGGACACGATGATGGCCCCCAGCAGCCAGATGTTGAGCCATGGAGGCATCCGTAGCAGCGACTGGTTCTCAGAGACACTGCGAAAGCGAGGAGACAGCGTTACCCCAGTAACCTCCTGCTCCCCAAGTGTTCCCGCTCCTCTCCAAGGCTGTACGCTATAGCCCCTCTCTTCCAGACTGTTCAGCTTCAGGCTTTCCTGCAATTTGGATCTGGACACTCATCTCAGTGCAACCAGCCACACGTGGATAAGGACCGGTCGTTAACAGGGCTGAACTGCCAACGGATGCAGATCCAGTCCTTCCTCCACTGCTATCAACAGTGACACACCGGCTTGGAGGAGTTCATGTACAGTGAGCCCAGTGGTCCCCTATGAGAACACCCCGAATGGCTCTGCTGAGTCAAAGCGAAGCCCCCAGCCCACCTACGGATGCTCAAAGAGACCCTACACATACAGGTCACGCACAGAGCATACAGAGCCATCCTGCGGCCACCCTACCTGTTCAAAGCATTGCACATTTCGATTGTCACCAGCACGGAGAGAGCCATCGTGGTTGGGTATCGGGACTCGAAGATCTCGCAGTCAATTCCTTGAAAGATGGGGTTGTCCTCAGTGCACCTCATGAAGTTCCTCTGTCGGCACAGGAAACCGCTGGTAAATACATGTAAAGCAGCGGTGTAGGAAAGGCAGGAAAGAGGAGGAAGAGGTCGACTGGTTGGGAGGCACATGGTGAACCATGATTATTAGGGGTGCTGTTAAATATCCCACAGTTCAGAGCAACTGATAAAACTGTCTAAAGTGACCCAGCTTCTGCTGTGGCTTCGGGGTTATGGCTGGATCGTGGCTTAGAGTTTTTCACGTCCAGTTAACAAGGTGTCACACGTGTCTCCATCACAAAGACATCTTCCATTGCACGTGACACTGGGGTGCAATGGCACCCGCTTTCCCACCACCTTGTTCAGACCTACAGTAATGCAAAAATCAATCCCTTTCAGTGTGGGATCAGGCAGAGGAGCTACTTTCAGCTTCTTTGAATCAAGTTTTCCCCACCACGCTGGTCACTGGCAGAAGCAAGCCTGAGGGAGAGAATTTGCTTTCACTTTAAATTATTGTCTTCTCCACTGGGAATTTGGGAACACTACAACAACCACAGAAGAAAGGCAGAGGAAAGACCCCAATGCCTGAATCCATCTGCTCAACACGTTGGCCCATTCCCCTCCGGACTCACCAGCTGATGGAAGGAGACCTGAGGTCCCTCGGCGTCGTACAGGAACCACCAGGTCGCTGCGCCCACCGTGGCCAGGCCCACATACACTGCAGCCAAGAGAGACACCCTTACCCCCAGCACCCAGCAAGGGGTTCCCTTACCCCATGGCTTCCCATGCCCGTCCTCGTCCTCTGCCCACCAGTGCCCACGGGGTTCACCTCCGATGGCCAGGTAGCGGAAGAAGAGCCAGCCGCTAATGAGGGGCTCCTTGGGGTTGCGGGGCAGCTTGTCCATGATGTCCAGGTCGGGAGGGTTGAAGCCCAGCGCGGTGGCTGGCAGTCCGTCCGTCACCAGGTTCACCCACAGCAGCTGCACAGGGATGAGGGCCTCAGGCAAGCCCAGGATGGCTGTCAGGAAGATGCTGCAGGGAAAAAAACCAGAGATGCTTAATTAGATGAGCTCTGGGGCAGCCAGAGAAAGCATCTGTGTCGGGCAACAGGACAGTGAGCAGGAACCCTGGATCCAAACACCCCACACTGAATATTCATTCAGAGTCCTGCAGATGAACCTGCAGCCCCCAAATCAGGAACTTGAAGACCAAGACTGAATTTTGCAGCTAAAATTTGTTCCTGTTATTATTAAAATCTACTTGGCAGACGAAATCCAACCACTGATGTCCCTACAGACATGCAGGTTCCCATTCCCAGCACAAACACCCCTGCTGAAATGCAAGGGCAAAGGATGTCCAAGGGCAAAGGATGCTGAGGACAGCACTGATTTACTGGGTGGGATGGGCAAGGGGTAGGGAGAGCTGTGCAGGACGTGATGCAAACTGCATCTGTGCAACCTGGTGACACCAGCCTGCGCACAGATCTATCAGACACTGGCATGGGCTTAAATTGGCAATGCATTAACAGAGCAGTGCATTTACAGAACCACATAAGAAAAGAGCCCCTACCCCTGGGGAATGAGACAACCAGCTCCTTTGGTACCCAGAGTCACCCCTGGGCATCGCACGCTGCCAGGGGCAGGGGACACAGACAGGACCATGGGTCACCTTCCCCAGGGGACACATCCCCACTGCTGCTCCCGGTGCCGGGGGGCTCTCACCAAACGACCTCCCCGACATTGGAGGAGATGAGGTAGCGGATGAACTGCTTCATATTGTTGTAAATGGCCCTGCCCTCCTCGACGGCCGACACAATGGTGGAGAAGTTGTCATCGGAGAGCACCATCTCGGCAGCCGACTTGGCGACGGCCGTGCCTGACCCCATGGCGATGCCGATCTCTGCTTTCTTCAGCGCCGGGGCGTCGTTGACACCATCGCCCGTCTGCAGGAAGCCAGGATTAACGAGGTGCAAGGGATTGGGCTGGGTGGAGAGGAGGGGACTGGGGGGTGGCAGGATGTCCCCAGGGGACTCACCATGGCGGTGATCTCGTGGAAGGACTGGAGGTACTCGACGATGCGGGACTTGTGTGCTGGCTCCACACGGGCAAAGCAGCGGGCATCACGGCA